AAAAAAAAAGCTTTTTTTGGTCTACAATGAATAAAGATGACGAGAATGTTTGAAAATCGATAAAGAATTTAATAATATGCAAATTTTAGAAAGTTTGAAGAAAAATGCAGTTGGCGTCATTTCAAAGAAAACGGTAAAGAAATAGGAACATAATTTGGAAAAAGTTTGGCACGCTTCATTCGCAGGTATTTTTAAAACATTCGAATAAATATTTCTGGGATTAATTTTCTAGCGTTCCAAGTATGAATTGATTTGTTTGGTTAAGGAACTGATGGTAATTCCAAATTTAGTTGAAAAATTTTTATAATATTTTCTTGTTTGCATCTACAGTAAAATCTCTTTCTTATTGACGGCAAAAATAGGTGGTGCTCATTTTTGCAACGAAAAGTAAAATTGAAAAAAAAAAAATTTTTTTTAGCAATTTTTTAAAATCTTTGAAAATTTATGTTTATCATGATGTCAGTAAAGTTTTTAACACTTTCAGACTGATATTATAGAAAAGAAGCAAAATGTTTCAGATTATGTATTAATATTGAGCTTTTCATTTCAACGGATAACAGTGCATAAAGTTATTTTAGCAGAAAAATTCTGGACAGGCGATGTTAATAAGTAAAACGTTACAAACTTTGTGAATGGCCTCTTTCTGTTCGTCAGTCAACCAATTGTGGAGCACTATATCCTGATGTACCCTATAAGTATTAGCGGTGATATGATTTAAATAGACAGAGAAAAACAGCTGCTTATATATTCGAAAAATTTTTTCAATAAAATTTACATCAGAGAAGAAAGATACAAAGATTTTTTGTCAGTTTTTTACAGTAGTGAAAAGTAGCTGTTATACACTAAAAAAAACCCCGACAACTACAACTTTGAATCGTCTACTTCACTGAGCGTATTAAAAACCACATTTACCTGCCAGCTTCTTCTTGTGCTTCCGTCACCTGAAATTGTTGAACTTTGTTTAATTTGTAGTTGAAGGTCAATATTATTACGGGGAAAAAGCGGAATAAACATAGTTAAATTTGGTAAAGGGATGATAAAAAAAGAGTAATTGAGTATAACTCACAGGCCGCGCCACGGCATAAGTGACGAGCAGAAGAAGACAACTAAGTACTTGCAGGTACATGTTGTCGGGTTTATTTGAGCGGAGCAATAGCTGTAATATAAAAGTTTTTGGTAAAAAAGTGAAGAGACAATGGGGACAAGCAAGAGAAATTCACTCTTATCGAATTATCGTTTAGGATATTCAAAGCAAGAAAGACGCGAAGGAGGAAACATGTTCAGAAAACTTAAATTTTTTTGGTTTTTGAAGGCATTTTTACACGCTGTGAACAGTTAAGAGACACCAAAGATTAGACAAAAATAAATCAGTACAAATATGTTTGTTATCAATTGAGTGTAAAATGTTTAAAGATATACGACCAGCCAACTGCTAAACGTTGACTGATTTCTGAAATTTGTAATCGCATGTGAGTTTTGACTTTTCAACGTTTATAGCGACAAAATTACTGGAACAGTTTTGAATAGGTAAAATGATTTGTGAATTTACAAGCTGTAAATTGGCATTCAGTTTCAGAAAAAGAAGATTCTTTTTTGGTGCAAAAACAAAGACTGTTACGTTTTATTTTTAGCTTGCTAGTCTTTTATCAAGTAGCACTGTTATATGTATGACTGGTAAAAACTGTTTTTAACCAGACAACCTTTCAAATTTTAAGTTTTAAATAGTGGATAGTACTGTATGATATGATAGGCAGTTGTTGGTACTTGAATATATCTGCATTAAACATAAAATGTTGCAAAGTTTACGTTGCATCAAATCTGAAAATCTCAAAACACAAAAACATGTGAACAGTTTTACCATTAAAAAAGATTTATTTTGGTTTAATGTTCGCTTATTAATGTTCACTAAAGGTACACCAAAGCTAAAAAAAAACGATATAACAACACTTTAGACTGTACCAGTCATAAACGAACATAAGTACTTAAAATTGTTTAAGATTATCACTCAGTATTAGTTCACTTAAACTTAATTTTATACGGGGAAAGTTTGAATAAAAGTACAGAAAAATCTATGTTCAAAACAAATGCATTAAATGGTGCAATAATATTCAATAAAACTGTTATACAGTGCTAAACCAGCGTATTTAAGTAAGAAGACGAAATATTTGCAAAAATTACACCAATATAACAGTAAGCCATAGGTTAATCTGTTTGCAAAAAAAAAATATTATTTGTTTGACAAATTAAGAAGTGACTTTTCTTATTGCAACAGTAATAGGCAACGAGAAATAACAGCGCAAAAGTTGAAACGACAATTCAATTAATCATTTTAAAATGAAAGATAAGTTTTAAAAGCAAAAAAAAATT